ATCTTATCAACTTGGTAACAAGTATCGTACTAATATATTGGTAAGACTTGCATGTATTGTTCAATTATTCTTATTACGGATTAAACAAAATTTGATACTCTCTTCGTCCTACCTATCATGTTCAATTGGCCACGAGTCTTTCTGGATTGGCAAGACTTGGCAGAGTTTCTTGATAGAGAATTTTGAGAGGATTTATGCTAAAAGATCAGTTGGTATGGTTGAGATGCCACTTTTCTTGGCTTTTATCTCTCTAAAAACTTTTCATTTTCTCGACTATTGATGAACATTGCGTTTTCGTTTGTATTAGTAATGTATTATTATTCATACAAATAACGATTGTAATAAAAACAATTAACATGCATATATAACTATATAAGCACTTGTATGCGTGGCCTTTAATCACACTCCATCTACTGCTCATATCTTTTTCTGTCACCCCTTTGTACTTGGTAGTTTTTCATTAGTTATCCTCGATTAACGATTGCACCACATAAATCACCATTTTAATGGAGACTACGTACTTCCTAGTCTCTATATTAATGTTTTTTGAGTTTATTTAAATTAAAGCCAAAGTTAATTTGCCCCTGCAAATTATTATTGTGCTTAGAAAGGAGTTGCAGAATAAGAGCCCGTTTGGCCAAGCTGCCAAAAACTGTTTATTTTGAGAAGTATTTTTGTTCAAAAATGCTTTTTGAAAAAGTACTTTTGCAAAATAGTAGTTTGTGTTTGGCCAATTCGTTTGAATAGTGCTTTTTGCAAGCTCATCATGTTTGACCAATCTTTTAAAAAAATACTTTTAAGTATCAAATTACGAAAAAGGACAATAAATATTCAAATTTGTGATTAGTATTATTTTGAAAAGAAAAATAAATTTAAATATTTATTATAAAAGAATTTAATTAAAATATAAAATGTAAAGTAAAAATATAAATTAAAAATTCTAATTAATATAAAATATAGTTATTCCAAAGCAATAATATTGAGTATTTGGTTGTAACGACCCGACCGGTCGTTTCATGAGTTACCGCTCCGTTTCCCCCATTTTTGCTTCTTATTGCCTTGTTCAACTGTATTATGTGTTATCGGGTTGGTTGGCTCAGGTTCGGAGAGATTTTGGTAAGGTTTGAGACATTTAGTCTCTTTTGAGTAAGCTTACGTTGGAAAAGTCAACCAGATATTGACTTATATGATAAAGGGCTCAGATGTGAGTTCCGATGGTTTGGATAGATTCGGGAGGTGATTTGGGACTTAGGAGCGTGATCGGAATGTGTTTTGGAGGTACGGAGTAGATTTAGTCTTGAATTGACGAAATTGGAATTTTGGCTTTTTCCGGTTGGTAGGTGAGATTTTGATATAAGGGTCGGAATGGATTTTTGGGAGTTGCAGTAGGTCCATCGTGTCATTTGGGATGTGTGTGCAGAATTTCAGGTCATTAGGACGTGGTTTGGTAGACTTTTTGATTGAAAGCGGAATTTGGAAGATTTTGGAATTCTTAGGCTTGAATCTGATGCAAATTTGGTGTTTTGATGTTATTTTGAGCGTTCTGAAGGTTGGAACAAGTTTGAAAGATGTTATGGGATAGGTTGGCATGTTTTGTTGAGGTCCCGAGGGCCTCGGGTGAGTTTCGGGTGGTTGAACGGATCATTTTAAGTTGAAAAGATTGCAGAAAAATCTGATGTTGGTGTTGCAGGCTTTTGGCTTTCGCGTTCACGAAGGGTTGGGATGTGAGACAATATTGTTGGCCTTCGCGTTCGCGATGAGGGTCCTGCATTCACGAAGGGATGGGTCTGTGTTCAACGCGTTCGCGATGGTGACGCCGCGTCCGCGAAGGTTTGAGTTGCTGAGGCATCGCGTTCGCGAGGGGTCGTCGCATTCGCTTAAGAGGATTTCTGGTTAACTTAAGTTTGTGCTTCGCGAACGCGAGGCGTTGACCGCGTTCGCGAAGAAGGATTTGAAATAGCTAGGCAGAATATTTTAAAAGATCAATTCCGCGATTTCTAGCCTAAGTTCCACCATTTTTGGGCGATTTTAGAGCTTTTTTGAAGAGGATTGAAGAGGGAATCAAGGGGAAACACTTGGAGGTAAGATTTATGGACTCAATATTCAATCCTAATGTGTTTTCTACCTAATTAATCATGGAATTTATAGAATTTAAGCCTAAATATTGAAGAACTAGGGCTTGTAATTGGAGTCCTAAAATTAGGGATTTGAGGGGTCGTTTGTGGTTGGATTTTGGTGCTTTTGATATGAATGAACTCGGAGAGTGATAAGAAATCTATTGATGTAATTTTTATCGGATTCCGAGACGTGGGCCCGGGGGTCGGGTTTGGCCAATTTCAGAATTTGTGTTGTAATTTGATTACTTTCGAATGAGTTTTATTCCCTTAGCATATTTTGATAGTTTTGCACTGATTTTGATTAGATTTGGAGCATCCGAAGGCCGATTCTAGAGGCAAAGACATCGTGGGCTAGAGTTTGGATCGGATAGAGGTGAATAATGATTGTAAATATTGTCCTGAGGGTATGAAACCCCTGATTTCACATCGTTGTGCTATTTTGAGGTGACGCACACGCTAGATGACGAGCGTGACGTCATGCACCATTAGGGATTGTGACTTGGTCTATCCCGTATGACTATTTAACTGTGTAATTTATTGAAAACTGTTTACTATCATCATGTTTTAGGTTGAATGCCATATTTGGGCCTCGTGCCAACTGTTTTGGACCCTTAGATGATGTTTACTACTATTTCTCACTGTTTTGACTTTATACCTATACACAGTCATGCTATATTCTACTGTTTTTATAACTCAACCATGTTTACTCTATTTTGACATCTTAAATGATATTTTGAGCCGAGCATCATCTTTTACTGTGCTTGAGTGGCTTTTAGAGATTTCTGACTGAGTAGGGCCGATGGCATGTATTGTGAGGTTATTATGGTATCGAGTTGCGCGCCGCAATGGTATTGAGCTGATTCATGATTTTGAGGCCGAGTGCCTGAGTTGTTCGCCACAAGGTGGCTTGATATAAGGCCGAGAGCCTATTGATTATGCCACGAGATGACGTGATATTGTGATTGGGCCGTAAGGGGTCCCTCCCGGAGTCTGTACACCTCCAGTGAGCGCGGGTACCCAGTGTGAGATGTGATATAATATGAGGGGCTGATGTTGTTCTATGTTATTGACCAATGGGCTGGTTCTGTTGGTATTTTGCCCGAGGGGCTGATTTGTGTTTCTATCTTTTCTCCCTGTTTTTCATTTGCTCGTTTGAACTATTAAAAGATGTTTTAAAGAGGTTTTTGCTGAACTAAGGTATTTTTATAAGTTTTCACTGTTTTATTGCATTGTATTGGCTTTATACTGCCTCTTTGTAGCATGTTGTTGTGTTTTACGTGTTTTCTTATCGCTCAGTTGCCTTTACTTTTATCACTCACTGAGTTGACGTACTCACATTACTCCCGCTCCTTGTGTGCAGATTCAAGAGCCTCGGGTCTTGCTAGCGAGGGTTGATTGCTTCCAGCAGCCTGTCCGGAGTTCACTAGGTAGTTGCTCGGCATTCGCAGCCCAGTGCTTCTCTTTCCTATCTTTATTCTCATTTGTACTGGATTTGTAGTAGACTATGTAGACTCTTCCTACTTTTAGACGGTTGTTTAGATGCTCATGACTGGTGACACCGCGATGTCAGGTTGTGTTTATTTCTGCACTTGATCTATTTCACGCTATTTTGGGATTTATTACTTACTAATGACTTAAAATTAAATTATTATATCTGTTTAGATGGATTGAGAATTTGTGTCGGCTATCCTTGTTTCACGATAGGCTCCATCACGACCGGATCCGGATTTAGGGTCGTGACATTGGTATTACTTATTATTTACATAATAATTTAAATATGTTAAAATACACCATTCAATATAAATTTAAAATATACTCTTAGGAATAAGACAAAGAGAAAAAATATATGATTAAGATAAAAAGGATAAGAAATGTATAGTAGAAATAAAAAGAAAAAGGAAAAGAAAAAGAAAAATGTTAGATTAATGAGAGATAATTTAAAAAATATTAATTTATTGTAAGGTTATTTTTGCCTTGAATAAATTAAGTTTCTGCTTCTGCTTCTCCTTTTTGGAAGAAGCTAGAATTTGTAGCTTTTCTCCAAAAATAGAAAAACTGCTTCTGCTGTTGCTCAGAAGTATTTTTTTATTTTGGCCAAACACCTTATTTTCGAAAAGTACTTTTTTAATAAAAAAATATTTTTGGCCGTCCTAAAGCTTGGCCAAACAAGCTCTAAGAAAGGCCGGAGAAGAAGCAGGGGGTGAAAGGGAGAAAAGGTCAATTTTTGGGTCTATAGAATAAAAGGAGCCTAATCTTTTAGATAATATTATAAAATAGGACCGATATTAAATACCAGGACAACATGAGGACTATCTGTGCAAATTCTTGAGTTTCCAACATATAAATAGCACCTGGCTATTTGTAGTACCCCTATTTATAACATTTCCAATACTACTTCTTCTTCTTTTGACCTTCGAGTCTGAAGTTGCACTGTAGCATATTCAAGGTCCGAATTTGAAAATGTTAGATCCCTAATTTCAATTTCAGATCTGCATGTCTAAAATTTATTACGAGGGGTAAACTTTAAGAACTTTGCGGTTATTTTATAATCTCTTCGTTCATTTTTACTTGTTCATATTGGACTTTCACGTCTCTTAATAAATAAATAAATACAATATATATTATCATATAACCCCTAAAAATAATAACATTTCAAAAGGCGAAATAATTTTGGAAATGAGTAATTAATTGTAAAGGTAAAACAAGAATTTTTTTTGTCATTTTTTTGAATTGCTAAAATAGACAACTAAAGGTGAAAATATATTTTTAATATTATAGACAAGTAAAACGGTTATTTGTGTGCGCTTCACCCGTTTACAGCTATGCAAATGTGGTCCAAATCCCATATATGCATCCAGCGTTCCAGCCAAACCAAATCGTACGGCCCAGAATTTTCAATAAATTCACCTTTTCCCCGCCAAGCCTAATGCTTTATTATCCTGTCCTCGTTTGTTTTTCCCGCCATTTCCAGGTTCCTCTCTTCTAGATCTTCATCGCCGCCCCCGCCGGTTGTCTCCACTGCCACCTCCATCCGGTGATTCAACTTTATCGTGAGTCTTATTATAGCTTTGCATTTGTCTATTATCGATTTCCTTAAACCCTAGCTTTTACTCTGCTGAACAAAATGTAAAACATTTTTTATTTACATTGCCGCGTCAATTTCTATAAATTTGGATTAAAAAAATTGTAGGAAAATGACAAGAGAAGAAGTTGAGAATGGAAAAGACTACATGTTAATAGACGGAGAGGACAATGCCGTTCCAGATGGATTTAACGCTGATTATCTAAAAGCTTATTACGGTAAACCTTCGTTTTCGAGCATTTTAACCTGTTTATTTTTACACATATACGAATCCGGGATTTTAACTTTATGAGTTCGAGTTCGGAATTGTAACACTGCTCATTTGATTTACTGGATTGGAAATCTATTATTTGTACTTCCTTAGTGGATTTTTAACACATATACAGTGTCACATATAATAGATGCTATGATTAGACATCTGTACATCCATATAGGGATAAGCTTGAGATCTGTAGAACCTTTAGTTTTAGATAAATCTAATTTGCCAACCGACGGACATGTGATTTCTTACTGGAATAAAATGGGCTTGAGTAGAGAGGAATGGGTACAGATGAGCCATCTGGTCAATTCCGACTAGTTTATGATTGAGATGTAAGTGTAAAGTGACTGACTTCTCAGTTGTCCATTTAACAGAATTGAACTTGGTAGTTATTCAGTGGATGTTGATGAAACAAACAGTTGGTACCTGAATGCTTGTTTGGGAATTGTGTACATACCTCTTCAATTATGAATTGGATTATCTTAAGTACAATCAAATGAATAGTGTTCTTATCGTGCTTATCAATATATTCTGAAGGATGCTTTGACATCTTTTCTGCCTTGAATGCAATTTTGATTTGGAAAATTCCGAAATTGACGTGATAGAGCTATGTTGTTGCAAAGTTTGTACCTTCCTCAATCCCTCTTCCTTAAATAAGAAATTCTCTCACTATACATTACTTTTTATTTGGTTTCAAAGCCAATATTAATTGATTTCTCAAGCTAAGTTTTCTCTGTTGCAGGAAAGCTTTTCCCTTGTGCTGATATGTTCAAGTGGCTGTCTTATGGCAATGGTAAAAGCAGTTCCTCGATAGAGTTTCTCATGTTATATTTCTTCTGTAACATTGTGCTATTGTGGGTTCTCCAGATGGAAAGCATCCAGGTTGTGATCACTCATACTCTGGTCGGAGGGAGTTTTCATTCACATTGGATAATGATATTTACTTGCGATTTCAATCATTTAATACTGCATCTGAGCTGGAAAATGCTATCAAGGAGAAGTGTCCTTTTAAAATAGACATTGGACCTGCCTACAGCGTGGATGTAAGATCTCTGTTATTGTCTTTCTCCCTGCATTGATGCTTCATTTTAGTACCTATGTACAAAACGATTCGGAAAAAGCTTCTTATAGTGAATCTGCTGAATTTGTTGCTTTTATGTGGCAGACGTTCTAACAAAGGTTGTTTTTCCTACTATAACTGCATGTTACTTCACTTCAAAAGAAAAATGGAGTTTCTTTTAGCTGAAACACTTAAAACGGCTATACATTAAGTTATTGATATGCTTACTTTCATTCTAATGCTTCTTCATAGCCTAAGTAGCCCCAATTTCTCTGTCTTCTTACTTCTCGGGGAAGAGGAGTGTGTTTTTGTGAATCATTAAGTTATTTCAGCAGGATAGATATATTCTAACTTTTTTTTATTAACACTTAGAATGTTGTTTTCTGTGTTGCAGCCCTCAAAAAGGCATGCCTATTCACAAGGTGGTGATAATATATTCACGCCTGTGGAAAGAGAGCTTGTGTTTGATATTGTAAGCTCTTGTCTCTTTTCGTTTTCTTGAGCCGAGGGTCTTTTAGAAATAGCCTCTCTACCCTTTGGGGTAGGGGTAAGGTCTGCGTACACTCTACACTCACCGGGTTGTTGTTGTTGTATTCAAACTTGAAATATCAAATTATCTGCAGAAAAGACACCAATTCATGTTTCAGCTAAAATTTTGTCGAATGCATATTTAACTGCAGGATATTTCCGATTATGATGATGTTAGATATTGCTGTTCAGGAGCTGATGTTTGTTTGGAGTGCTGGCCACTAATGACAGTTGCTATCAAGGTCATTGATACTTCTCTCAGAGGTATAGTCTGTATGATATGAAAAAACAAGCTGGTCATTTGCCCAAGGAACCATTTTGCACCTTTGATTTGCTTAACCGGGTACTTCTGCAATTGAATGTTGAATAACAGATGACTTTGGGTTTAGTCACATTCTGTGGGTATACAGTGGTAGGCGTGGTGTCCATTGTTGGGTTTGTGATGGAAAAGCAAGAAGGTACTGCTACAATTATAACCAGAAGTGTATTACAATTGCTGTTTGCTCTAGTATTTATTGATATAGTTATTGTCTTGATATTTTACTGGTTTTATATTGTTCTTATAACCATCATCACAATCAGGTTAAACAATGAACAGCGGGCTGCAATTGCTGATTATTTTCGTGTCTACAAGGTATTTGAGGATGTTTTTACATGCATGCTATCGGAGACTATGATGGCTCGAGGTTGTAACAGAAAAAATGTTTTGTTTATCATTCAGGGCAATGAGAATAGCAATAAAAAGGTTTCTCTAGTGGGTCCTGCACTTCATCCTTTCCTCGCGTAAGGTTTTCTCCATTTAATTCCTTTTCATTTCGGTTTAGGATCTTTTCTGAGTCGTATTCAACCTTTGCAGGAGATCATATACTGATGTCTTACAAGGTTACTTTGAGAAAAGACTTCTATCAAGTCAAAATTTGTTCCTGAATGAGGAGAGGTTTGAGAAGATACTGGAAATGATACCTGACGAATGTATGCAAGTTTTCACCTTTCATTACTTGTTTTAATCTCTTTCATTTCGTCGAGTTTTTAGTGAAGTTGGGGTGATTTTGCAGCTATTACATCTGAGCTCCGGGGAAAGTGGCTGTCTAACAAGCGCTCAAAAGAAGATATTAATGTTGTTCGTTGGGAACAACTAAAACATCTGTTATCTAGTAAAAAGGTAGAAATCATCTTATACTGACCAGTACTTCGGGAGGTTAATGTTTTTCACTGTCTTTTTAATCGCACGACCCAAGTTTGTTCTAATTATTAGTCTTGAAAGCATTGAGATTCTTTTGCTGTGTCATTGTTCCATTATCCAAGATCTATCATGTTCCTTCACCAATTGAGTGAGCCATGGTATTGTTTTGGTAATTAGGTAAAAGTTGTGGATGTATTTCTTGCTCTTCTACTATCTGGTTGGAGCTTTTCATTGCTTGTACGTCAAGTTTATAATGCAGTGCTTCATCTGTTTCTGTTACCCATGGTTCTGTTTTGCATTTCAGGGCCAGGGTCATCGCAGATGCATCGAAGAGATTGTGTTTTCTTTTACCTATCCAAGACTTGATATGGAGGTTTGTGTTATTTACAGTTTCCTACCCTTTTTGGGACCTCAGTTCTGCTTATATGGAGTATGAACATTTAAATCTTTTGTATAACACATGGGAATAACATGCTTGTAGAGCAACAAATAAAATGGGACTTGATTATATTTCTTTGATGTTTTACGGCATAAATTCAAACTGAAGATTTGCTTCTTTTACCTCTCAGGTATCAAAGCACATGAATCACTTATTAAAAGCTCCTTTCTGTGTGCACCCCAAAACAGGTATGCACCTACAAGACAAGACACTTGAATCATTACAGTTTCTTATCATTGGCTATTTTTCGTCTCTGATCTTTACATTTTAACAGAATCTTTACGCTTCTTTTTGTTAGGCCGCATTTGTATTCCTATTGATCCCAATAAGTGTGACGAGCTTGATCCTTCTGCTGTTCCAACCCTTTCCAAGGTGAACGATCCTTGAATAGTTTGTCTTTTAGCATTTTCAAGATATCATTGATAATTTCAATTTGTTGATTCTTGTACAATATGCTACTATATGAGAAGTAAAATTAAGGTTTCTAATGTCATTTGGAAGACCATATAGAAAAATTGCCTATCATCATGGATGATCAAACTTAATTTTTCAAAACCACAGTAGTTAAGCTTGTCCCTTCCCAAGTCTTCCATAATCAAGTGTTCCATTCAGAAGCAAATGGTTTCCTCATGATCCAACTACTGTTTGCTACCTCGCCTGATTGGCATACTTTCAGATGTTCAATTAGTCAAGGCTAGTTGTAGTTACGGCAAAAGGTACTGAACCCGGCCAAATGAATTTCTACCCTTATAGTCGAGACCAGACTGTTATTCTTTTCCAGTTCCAGTATATTACTGAATATGGTGTAATGCTGTTAACGATCCTATCCATTATTCAGTTATAGAATGGTTAGTGCACCTATGATATAAGTTAATCATATCATTATTTTCATCCCTTTGCATCCAGAAGTTGTAAAATTTGGCAGTATATTATCAAATAATTTGAAGTACGCGGCGACACTTTTCTTATTCCAGCTAATTTCTTTTTTCCTTTTATTGATACTAATTTGACTGTATTGTAGCTTATTGGAGATCTTAATGCTGGAGGTTTTATAGCAGAAGGGGACAATGGTAAGGAAAAAGGGAACAATGGTATACTGAATTCTTTCTCTTCATTTTTACTTGTATTTTTTAGATAATTATTTCTGATCCCTTTTGTTCTTTCCATCAAGTGGTGTCAGAAATAGCAATGATTTACTTGTGGTTCTTAGCTGATATTCCATTAAACTAAAGCATTGATCATTCAGCTATTATAACTTGTGAATTTCACTCTAGCCGGACTATTTACTATCTAAACGTTGAGCCTCTTTGTAATTGTGTCCCTATATTTAACTTGGTTCTGTTTCCATGAAATTTATGGTTTTACTCTTTGATGTTCACTTTATCGCAGAATGGGATGGAACATCTTTCGTACAATGTGTTAAATACTTTAAGGAACACTTCTTGGATCCTCTGCATAAGTCTTGCAAGGTACATCTCAACAACTTGAAATAAATCGTCCTTGCATTTATCTTGCCATGCCTGTCCTTTCAATAGTAGTTTATCATACTCGTTCAGAAATTGTGAGCAACTAATAATATATTTAAGCATGTAAATTTTTCTCTAACTGCCATCGATTTTTAACATTAAACTCATTGGTGGGGAAACTGACATCGCTCATAACCATGCAGGAGGAGATAGAGACTTCTTATAATGCAAAGGTTAAGCAGTCCAGGAATTCAATTAGCTGGTAGTGTTCTTGTAAGATCTTCAATATACATGTGTTTGTTTATGACCCTGCTGGTCATTGTAATTATGTGTTTAGTACTATGTCTTGTGCTTAATTTGTTAAGTCTTATGCTTAATTTGAGTGATAAAGCGTGTAATATGCTCTCCCCCCCCCCCCCCCCCCCCCCCCCCCCCCCATGTGTTGGGGGTTGTACTAAATGTTAATGTGTAGTTTCCCTCTTGAGACTTGTAGCGTCGAAATCAAATTCTCATTGCAGTTGACAAATCTTACTAAAACATACGGATTAGCTTCCAATACAACGTTGTCTTCCAAGAATATGGTAAGTTTTGTTCATTTAATGAAGTAATGAACTTATAACTGGTTCAAACTAGTATTATCAAAACTCAGAAGATTTTGTTGACTATTGTGGATATGTGGTCTGTGAGACAAATAGTGGGCTTTGGTTCTTTGCATTCCTACGGTTCTAAAGGTGTCAGGTGAGCGTTAATGAGACATCACCATCGCCTGCTTTGACCTCACTGTATTAGATCGATTCACACCAGGTTTCAGGACCATTTCATTTTACTTCTTTAAATTTGTAGACAAACCAAGCCATAGTCAGAGAAACATGGATATAATTATCTTGTAAAGTAGATAAAGAAAAAATATTGTCGAGTTACTGTTCCTTTTTTATGTGACACTTTCTTTTTAGTTTGTTCGAACAAGAATGACATATTTTTTATTTGGAAGCTCGTTTAACTTTAAACTTTTTATTATACTCTTTATGAAATACTTTTATAGTTACAGAAACGTTTTTGACATGTTTAAGAACACAAAACTGGAGGGAGGGAGAGGAGGGGTTTAGGTTATAAGGGCAGCCTGGTGCACTAAGCTCCCGATATGCGCGGGGTCCAGGGAAGGCCGGACCATAAGGGTTTATCGTACGCAGCCTTACCTTGCATTTCTGCAAGAGGCTGTTTCTACGGCTCGAACCCGTGACCTCCTGGTCACATGGCAACAGCTTTACCAGCTACGTCATGGCTCCCTTTAGGGGTTTAGGTTATAAAAAGAACGAAAAACTGAATGTAGGTAAGCATTGAAGCATCAACAGGACCACAGTGACTTGGTAGTGAGCTCTGTGCTTCACATGTGGCCTTCTCAAATCTCAAATAGTCAACTAGCTTTGTGCATCACATGTTACACGGTATGGCCAATCTAGGATATGTGGCACTGTTCCTTTTCACACTTATTTTCCTCAAGATTTTCTTTCTGCTTTTTCTCAAGCTGATTTGAGAATCGAGATGAAAACCAAATCATCATACCTTTTAAGTACAGTTGCGTCTCATTACAGTTTGCATGCACCTTGACTATTTCATTAGTATTCATTACTTCTCACTAACATAGATATTTGATTAACTATGCTCAGCTTAAACAAATAAGAAGAAATCATCTAATCTTTTTTTTTTCTCTACTGAGATTTGACCAAATCACCATCATATTGGAAGTACTACACAAGCTTTCTGTGAAATATCTTCTTTTCCTACTTTAAACTTAGTATGAGTTGTCATTTCTCATTGCATCACTTAAGCACAATATTTTCATTCCAAAAGGATTTAAAAAGATGGATGCCAAACTAGAAACTTGTTTTAAATATCACTAATTTTATGAGTAATAGCAAAACCCCACAAACTTGATACAGATACTTGGGAATAAATAGAGCTCAAATATGTCCATTCATCCCATAAGGAAACACAAGACAAACTCAAAAGTAGTCATAAATAGATAGCTAAACTTCAAAATTAACCATTTACATTTCCCACAACATAAAATGGTACCACTAAATCCCAAGAAAAACTCCTAATTTAACTTAACAAACCAATACTGAAAAATTCTAATTAGCAAGAACTTCCCATATCAACTCAGGATCAAAAGAAGGCATTCTTGCAAGCGAACAGCTATCAAATTCAGATTCCATTAATGGCTCCTTTAAACAGTCACCAAAAATAGAACAATCTGAATTCTCACTTTTCCATAATCCATCTTCAGAAACACTTGGTGAAATCACATCACCAACCAAAGAAGAAGTAGAAGATGATGAATCCATAGTTTCTTTAACTTTACTCTCATTTTCACTCTTTTTCTTGGCACCCTTTTTAGCTTTCTCTCTTTTCACCTTTTGACAAATAGCTTGAATTTTAGCATCCACTGCATTCTTCACAGCATTCATTTTTTCACTATCTCCAAATCCCAACTTACTCGGATCGCGAATATTAGGAAAATTCAAACGTGCATATTCGCCTCGAAGTTTATATGCTGCTCTGTCATAAGCATAAGCAGCAGCTTCAGCAGTGTCATAAGTACCTAACCAAACTCTCATTCTATTCTGTGGAAGTCTTATTTCTGCAACCCATTTTCCCCAATGCCTCTGTCTCACTCCCCTATATAATTTTTTCTTCTCTGGAAACCTGTAACTCTGTGCATACAAAGAGTTATGAAATGGGAAAGTTGTGGAAGTTGCTGGTATTGAGATATTTGTTATGTTTTCTTGACAGAATTTTTGTAGCAAATCTCTTTGTCTAAGGTAAACTGATGAACCTAAAGGCTCAAAAACAGGGCAAGTCATTTGATTTGTTTCTTGACAATGAGAAAATATTGAGTCCAATGTGTTTGTACCACTTGTTAAAAGTAATTGAGATAATGAAGATCGAATTTGAGCACCCTCATCAAATATGCTAGACATCGTGTTGTTGTTTTCTTGGATTGTGTTCATTATCACTTCATAAAATTAGACAACAGAAGTGAGAAAAACAGAGGAGAAAACAGAGCAAAACAGAGGAGAAAACAGAGGAGAAAACAGAGGAAAACAGAGGAAAACAGAGGAAAACAGAGGAGAAAACAGGGTACTAAAAAAATTTGCCCCTTTTTTCTATAGTTAAATCCACTAATCCAGAGAAAAATTTGAGGATTAATGGAGAATTTGGAGAATTAAAAATCAAAGAAGTCAAAAAAAAAACAGAGAAATGGTTGGAGAAAAATGTTGTGTTGTTGTTTTGAAATGAATAATGGAAGAGTAGAGGACAGTTGGGAATAGAGATTTTTGAGTTTGATATCTAAGTTTGGTTTCCTCTTTGCTGTATTTATAGCTGCTGAAAAAAAGGATTTTTCTGTTTAAAGTTAAGGCCCCATAACTTTTTTTTTTTTTTGTATTCAAAAATTGGCATTTATGATTCAACTTTTTACTCTTATCTACTACAAGTCCTTTGTAATCTCTATATTACCCTTGTAGTAATTGTGGCTGAAAAGTAGTTTCATGTTTTATTCAAAGGGAATTAATCTATTTACTAGATAAGTTTTTTAGGGCCCGTTTGGCCATTAAAAATAATTCATTTTTTTCGGAATCAGTATTTTACCGTAAAATTTTCAAATTTTGCTTGAAATTGAATTTCAGAATTTTTTTAAAATTTTTAAAAACTCCAAAAAACTGTTTTTGAAATTTACTTCAAATCCTCAAAAACAACTCTAATTGTATTCATGCTCAAAGTTTAAACACAATTCTGATTTTCAAATACCATTTTCACTTTTTTTAACCGGAATTTCATAATTTTAATGTCCAAACACCCACTTATTTGATTTTTTTTCGGGGGTGGGGGTGGGGTGGGGGAGTGGAGGTTGGGAAGGCTCTGAGATGGCAATAAAATAGGAAGATAAGGACCTAGTTTAGACAAGAGGGGTTGCTCTGATGGTAAGCAACCTCCACTTCCAACCGAGAGGTTGTGAGTTCGAGTCTCCCAAGAGCAAGATGGGAAGTTCTTGGAGGGAATGATGCCGGGGGTCTATTTCTATTTGGAAACAGTCTCTCTACCCTAGGGTAGGGGTAAGGTATGCATACACACTACCCTCCCCAAACCCCACTAAATAGGATTATACTGGGTTGTTGTTGTTGTATAGTCTTGATCGCACATTTTAGCATAATGTTTGGATTCATATGCCTTTTGAAATTAAGATATTTGAATCAGCTACGTATGATAGTTAGTTTTATGCGTCAATAAGAAAAACCTTGCACCACGAGGATGAGTAGTAGTACATCTATTAGTGAACTACCACAAATTTCATGTTTATGAGAAGGTTTTATTCTTTTTATTGTCATTTGTATATTATTTGGGTAAAGTAAATCTTATTTAATTTTGTTATTTTCATTGAATAAGTTTGATTGAAATGTTATCACCCCGTTTTAATCTTTAGCTCCGTTCTTTTCCAACTATTTTATCAACGGAAGCACAATTTTTATAATATTCCTCATTTATATTCTTTGACCAATTCGTCTTCACCTACCCTAACTGTCAAGTAACTAGCAACATATGTAATCTTGTATTCAAAGCCTATTTAACTATATAATATGACAATTGCTAAATGTTGCATTGAGTTCAAAGTCGACATGCATATTTGACTCAAGACTTGAGTTCTCATCTTAAAGAAGTAACATGATATTGTTGTAGCACAACTATTAAAATACATTATATGCCTTAATTTGTTTAAAAAATATAACATCTTTGTATCCCGATGTTATAACATGTTTAAGATCTTGCATTTCTTTTTATTGTAAAAATGGCACCAGGTAGCCACTTTAATGGGCTGCTATTTAAGAATTACCCCGTGCATCCTGAATTTCAATTGTTCAATTCAAATTTTGGGGACAAAAATATCCTGAAGTTAAGATTTTTAGTTCTAAGGACAAAATAAGTACTGACTAATATCTAAATAACATCTCTGTAAATGGCTATCTATGCACTTGTCTCTATTTTTTTCCCTTAAATTCTCGCCTAGTCAAAGTAACATAAAATGAAATGGATGGAGTAGATTATCTACTACAAAATTGTACACTCGTACCTTCCTATAACAATCTTGTTTGTTCCAATATTTTTTTACTGTTATAATAAAATGCTGTTATAAAGGATATACATTATAACATAATATAATAATCAGTTCCGAGAAAAACTCAATTACGTAAATT